AACCGTCACATGATCTATCTGATCGTCTGTTCTTCTTGTAAACCAATTCGGTGACGATAGAAGCTTTACGCTGTCTATCCACAGAATACGGACACACAAAAAAATTACATCGACGAGTCTCTATTCGTTGAATGACAAAATCCAGTCTTCTGGATCAGTTATGATCTGTTAAATGTACAATGTTGTTGGTTTGTTGCGATTATTGGACTATATGTAAATATTACCCTGAAAAAATATGTTGATAACCGAAAACATTTTGAAAGTCGTATCTCGAGAAGTAAGTTTTTAGTTTTGTAATACAAAGAATTAATTGAACGAAGAATCCCTTTGTAATAATCATGTGCCTGTGAGTAATAGGCGTGACTTATTTTAGAAGTTGAGATTCAGTTTATATAATTATTTACACAGCACAGTCGATGTGAAGCTGAATAGGGAGTCGTATATCAGTTGTGGAGTCGTATGTTGTTCACGTTCAAAGTTGGCCTCCAAATACCTTTTTTGCTGTTTATTTGCAGCCTTTTCCCCACACTTTTTAAGATTGAAACGGCGAAATCTGAGACAGCTTTCTTTGAAAATTTATTCTCATTAAAAAAAAAATTTCTACTGACTCCATTGATTTATTGATATGTATTTAACAAATCCCCATTTTGTAAAATGCTGGCGGAATTTGATTTAAATGTGCAAGCTTCAAACCACAGGGCACTCTATTTATACGTTTTTTAGGAACTGAATGTTTTTGAATGTGTAAGTTTTAAGAAAGTAAGGAACTCTTGTGTGATCGGATAATATCGGATGTGTTATGAATTTCACAACCATAAAGGGTTGCGTTTGAGTGGATGGCTCTTTGGTGTGCTTCATTTGAAACGAGTTCAGGAAAGTTGAAAAAGGAACACTGGAAATTACTGGCAACTAGACCTAATTAGCTTGTTCTTTCCACTAGAATAAAAGATACGCTCCAGTTCTGCCATTATTCTAACATCAATATGCTTATAGTTTATATTCGTGTCCTTGTTAACAGGGTTCGACACTAGTGATTTCTAAAATTTACTAGCCCGAAACACAACCTGGTAGCCCAGATCAATTTTCCTCGAGGTCCACTTCAACCCCAAACGCGCAAACCTTTAACCCATAGCCTCTAACATCAATATGCACATTCTCCATACTGTTCTCTACATTTCTAAAGGTGCTGACAAGGAGAATTTGTTTAGAGATAAGAGACAGTCAGTTTGAAGTTGAAATTGAAAACACTAGGCGTCCTGGGCGTAATCACAATTCCATCTTTTTATGTCAAGATGTGGTCGGTAATTCTCCCTTATAGTTTATATTCATGTCCTTGTTAAATTGTTTTGGGGTTAAATTGGTATTTGTGGGTCAGTAAATTTCAACTGAATTTTGAAAGAAATCTGACTATTCGGTTTTATCTTTGCCTGTTGATTGGACTAGATCACTCCTTATGCTTAACTTAAACCAAAAGATTCGTTTATTTTGACGTAGGGCAAACGCCCGAATCGTCAGCTTTTGAAAATCATGGCGGTAAGCTCGGTTTTCTTTGTTCTGATTGGCTGTTGTGACTGATTATGATTTTGGATTTTTCGAGACTTAATCGAATTGCCTTCTCAGGGGTTAAATTGGTATTTGTGAGTCAGTAAATTTCAACTGAATTTCGAAAGAAATCTGACTATTCGGTTTTATCTTTGCCTGTTGATTGGACTAGATCACTCCTTATGCTTAACTTAAACCAAAAGATTCGTTTATTTTGACGTAGGGCAAACGCCCGAATCGTCAGCTTTTGAAAATTCTTTACATTATCAACTCAATTGATAAAACCGAGTTATCTTGTTAAACCATCAAGGATTGGCTGTATTTACATTGAAGACACTCAGTCGAAATGTCAAGCTATTGAAGGACGTTTACGAAAAACTACCGTGCCTTTTATCATAGTGTTTATCATGTATGCTATCGAAATATCAGCTTTCCAGAATTACATTATCAACTCAATTGAATTCAAATCGCTTCAGTATCCTGATAAAGAATGGTTGATTCCACACATTTTCGACCTATTCGCTGGAAATGATATCGGCAAATCAAGATTTTATCTTTCGTTGTAATTAAAGTGACTCTGATCCGTTTGAGCAGATTGCTTGGTTACGACTGATCAGTCCAAAATCTCGTTTATTGTATTCACTTATAGGAAAGTTGAAGTGGCCTAAACCCAATAAAAATTGTTATGGAAGTACCCTACCTAACGTTCTTTGCGTTTTCAATTCTTTTGCTTTCGGTTTCCATTTCGCCGAGCGATTAGATTTTATCACAAAGCCTCTCCTGAGGGGAAACGTGATTTAACTGTTGAGAACTACCTAAAATATTGGATTCTCTTATAACATTGTCGTCTCTGTGGTATTTAAGCTCCAAAGGTTTTGCGCCCCTCCTATATGGTAAGAGGCAAAATCAAAACAAATCGTTACTGGTGCACTCGATACGCGGCTGTTTTACTACGTCAAACATTACAAAGTTTCAGCCAATCAGTATTCTCTTGAAGTCACTGACACGCGCGCGCATTGTTACGTCATAAAGGAGTCGTACGATTGCAAAGGAAAGCCAACAGTTATTTTGATTGCAACGGTTCATTTGCAACGGTTCTGTTGTACTTGTTATTTCTTTGTGAATTCTTACACTTGAATATGGGATGCGCTTTTAACTGCAATAATCGTCGCTTTACATAAGTCTTCAGAAGAAAAGAGGTTAGTATCCTTATTAAGTGGGTGAACTTTTGTGGATCAACAGAAACTTTATTCACGTGTCAATACCATATAGTCCATGCTCGGAATTTCCAAGAAGCTTGAAATTTCTAAGCGTTATGAATATTAGACTGTTCATGACTTCTCGAAAGTGGGGCTTCATTTGTGTGAAACATTCTTTAATTTGGCTTTTCCTTATTTCATTATCCAGACGTCCAAAGGCAAGAAAAGCAAAAAGTATTTGGTGTTATCCCTGCGAGATGATCGCACCAAAGACAACAGGCGCTAACATCTAGCGTCAACTTTGCCACATTAAGGGTGTGGCTAGGTACGCCGAAAATTTTACCGCACAGCAGGATGGTCCGCCCCTAATGCGGCACCCAGTACTTTGATATGGCTGATGGTATCCCTGAACTAGGGGCGTTTGCAATTTCCATTTCATCGTCGAAAGTAACCCAAGACTGCATAGGTTTTGCTCTGCTTCGCTCTGTGATTGGTCTAGAAGACTCGAGCCACTCTCTCAACCAATCGGATTCAAACGTTAAACCGATCACAACTTGGTCGCTTGTGCTTTTCTGCGCTTGAGATATTTCATTTAACTCCGATGGGCCGTTTTGGTAAATTTGGTTTCGGTCCTACGATACTCAATCGAATAGCACTCTGCACTCTAGTTTTTAGTTCTTGATCATTTTGTTTGTTGCTGTAGTTTTTACTTAATGTTCTCAAAATGTTAAATGTCATCGAGTTAATTTTTACTTATTTTTTCCACCAGTTACCTATAACGAGAAAGTGAAAAACAACGAGGGAGGTGAAGGAAGGCTGGGAATAGATAAGTGTTGGAGTCATTCAAACGGAGGACGATTGATTTGAGACGGAAAGTTTGAAACTGTAGGGAGAGGGGCTTTGAACGAAGAAATGTGATATCGTATCTAAAGTCATTGGGTTTCAGAGGATAACTCGGGCTGGAGAGCTCGAGGGAAATTTCAGTCACTTAGCCATGCTAAGGAACGCAACACTAACTAACTAGATACAAAATGTTAACTGGAGACGCAATTTCATTTGTATTGTGGAGTTGTTTCAAAACAAGTTGTCGGTGATTTGCCATAAATCTCAGTATCTAGGGCAAAGACTTTTTCTTTTGAAACGATATCCAGTAAAACCATGGCGTAATTTCATGTATCGTTTCCTTTCCTCTTATAAACACAGTTGCACAATTAAGAATGGTTCGTTTGAACGTGTAAAAAAGGTTCTAGCAAATCTTTTATAATTGTTAACAATAACTCAGACAACGGTGGGCCATACCTGTGTGTCTAACGAGGGCAGAGACATTCTTGAAATGATTCGCAGTCAGTGAGTTTTGAGTTAATCATGTTTCTAGTGACAAAGATTTTTCCCAAATTTCGTAAGAATCCAGTTTTGATTTAAACCATATGAGAATGGAATGTTTCCAAAAAGGTACTCAAAACCTCTTGTTAAGAACTGCCAGTTCTTGACATCGATGATATTTGCAAATTTTAAATATAATTATTATAATCGCCGTTCTTTTACGTTTCTAAGCAGTCTATAAACAGCTTTACCAGTACTACGACAAGTACCACTCATTTAATAATCTTTTAAGTCTGTTTTTTTTTCTTTTTTTCATTTTTTTTTTTTTTCAAAGACAATTTAAGATCTAAAGAATAAATCATTTGTACTGTTGGTCATATGACAAATGGGATTCTTTCGAAAAAAATGTTAACGACGCAAGATATTTTTAATGTTATTGTCTGGCGCAACTGAGCTTGCGATGCAGGCGTCTTAGCAGGGCGAGTTATCGTCACATGTTCTACGAACTCATGAACGTTTACTCAAACAGCCATGTTGGATTTTATTCACGAATTTCTTTCTCTCCCCAGCCTTACGCTGCTGTAAAAATCAAAGATGGCTGCCATAATTTTCACTAAGAAAATACAGAGCACTCGCTCGCCAAAATTACGTCTCTGCAGGCTAGGTTTTATGTGTTCCGTGTTTACTTCTTTTAAAGACCGCACATGATGAAACATCTGCGATGGCCTCGTGGAGAAAAAATGTCTGGAAGGTAATGCTACACTTGACATGTTTCATCTCTAAACTGTCTCTAAATTTTTGAAACGAAATCTGTTACGGAAATTAAGACTTATCTATTGGCGATTTATCTCTTAGATTCCTTAAGTTTGACAGTAAAGAATGGATATGTCGCATGGCGAGAGACAACATAATTAAGTAATATAAATATTTGGAGTAATTTTAGTAACAGAAATCATTCGACCGTGATGGTCAGTTGCGTGGCAACCATACAGTTTATGCGCACCGCAAGCACACTAAAACAACTGATATCAAGTTGCTCTGTTGGCCTTTTTGATACGGATGGTGTAAATTCGACAAGGGAACTAGCTCTAACGGAGAAAAAACTGCGTCAAAATGGCTACGACTAACCTCCCAGCAATTCCGCACCCGTTATCGAGGATGGAAGACCCTACGAATCTAAACGTGAGAGGATTGTCTCGCGAAGGTTCGCGTGTAGCTTCGCGGCAAAGTTTGACTTTCGGACAAGACCTCGACCGCCAAAAGCTTAATGTATTACGACCTATAACGGCGGATCAAGTGCCTTACAGGCTAACTAGGTCTTCGAATGGCTTTGGTGGGCAACGAAGCCCAAGATACGATGGATTTGCTGGCATTCCAGAAGGCGTCGAAGTGAAATTCGCTGAAGATCCTAACAAGCCAACAATTCCAATTTTCGGTAAGCACAATTTCTTTTTACTTATAGTGAGGTAGTAGCTGACACATATCCTTACTGTCGTATAGCTTCGTGGCTGTGTTGTCGCTTTTTTCAAGAGAAGGTAAATTTCGAAAACCGTATCATGATGAGAACCGGTAAATGAAGACCAATTATGACTCTGCAACTCATATAATAAACACTCTCCCTGTAAAATTTTTATCACGCTAAAATTATGCCTAAGTGTGCTAATCAGTCAAAAGCGATTTCATATAGCCATTTTCATTTATAAGGAAATCAGTGCAATGATAAAAGCGTTTCATGATTTTTTTTAACACCTATAGTTTAATTTTTGGTATCTTCCAGAGCTAACGAGAGCTAGTAACACTAGACTGCTTCATATTCAACCGATAGTCTTTTGTCTTCGAGAACATCTGTCAACCACAAAAAATTAAAAAGCTACTAAGAACACCTGCCAACATAAAACCGCAAATAGAATTAACAGATCCCCCTGCTAATGCTTTCCTCTGGCTTATTTCCTAAAGCTAGTTACTCAAGATACTGTTTATTGTCTCAATGAAACCTTTTTTTTGTGTTTTTGTAGTAATAGAAATCTTCACGTAGTGTCAACAAAAGGCGTTTTTCACGCAATATTGTTAGGTTATATGGAATTTTATGACCTATTTACATAATCACCATTATTTAAATGCTACATAATGGTGGAAATGCTGTGCAATAGAATAAAGATCCGAAGCTACTTTTTTTCAAAGTCTTTGACAACGTAAAATGTTGTTAGGTTAACCAATACTCTGTCATTTTAGGGAGCCGTGCAGACATGGCAAGTCGGGCTGAAAGCCGCCTGTCTCGATTAAACAGTGCAGCATCCTCTTTACAGGGTCCTGACAGAGCTTCAGTTGACGAGGTTTGTATATAGTATAGATATCAACAACGAACCTTGTCGGATCAGGTGGGGCTGTATTTTCTATGTTAATTATTATTTGGGGCAGAACTCTCTGATTTGTAGTTGTCAGAGGATAGGCAGGTACATACTCCACAAAGCATTTAATATTTGTTTGTACCTGAGCAAAGAGGCCCATCCAGCCAGAGCTGATCCCAGATTCCTTAGCTTTAAGTGATCAAAAGTATTTCTATTCCCCCAGCCCATGGCAAGGTTACCTTCATCCTTTTATTGGGCTTCCCTGATGCTTCAGTGGTTTCCATTCATACTGCTAAGGGAGAGAAGCAGTGTGAGGGTAAAGTGTTTTACCCAAGAACACAACACGTTGACCCAGTCAGGTGTCAAATCAGCATCTCTTAACCAGAAGTCCAGTGCGCTAATCTTTAGGCTGCCACTTCTCCCACTAAAGCATCAGTGAATGATGATACTTTTAACAATGTTTGTTGTAAAAGCAATGTAATTTAAAATATCATTATGTTATTTCAATAATTCAAGCAACAGAAAGTTAACCAACGACAATATTTCATATTCTTTTCAACACAGTTTGTAGCTTATCCTATTTTTTTGAATGATTTCTTAAGATTGAAGCTTTACTACGAGAAAAGATGAAAACTGGATATTATGACATAAGGGGGGCCTTCAAAAACTGTGATCCAGAGAGCAAAGGAATCGTAAACAGGTGAGTAATTTTTCTTTGATAACCATAGTCTAGGCTTAATATTTCCATTAATAGTGTATTTGATAGTAAAGCTGAGAAATTAGATAAAGAAGCAAAGGATTTAAACCTTTAACCCTCTCAAGATCTGATTGTTAATTCTTCCCTCTAGCTGCTACACATTTCCTTGTAAATCAGTTATAAGAATTTAGTGTTAGATCAAGATAACTTTTACCTGATAAGTTGTAGGTTTCTCATCATCTGTTTGCAGGATGTTGTATGGATATTATAGTGAGAAGTTACAATTTAATCACTTCTGAAAGTAAAAGCATTAATTAAGAAATGAGCAAACAATGCAGTTATGGATTGCAATACAGTGAAATCAACTACAGCCTGTTTTATACAGAGTTTGAAATAAGGATTTCTAAACAGAGGGCCAAAGGGTTCTTAACAATTTTTTTGCTTAAAACATAGTCCTTCTCAACAAGGATCACCATTTTAAAGGGTAAAAATTTGCAATGGTTTCATTTCTTGACCACTGTTTAATGCTTTAAACCCTGAGGGTGACCAGTGTCTAATTTCTCCTTACTTTCATACTGCTGAATCATTCATGGCAATCATGAGAATAATGGAAATGATCACCAACCTAAGAAGCTTTGATTGTTGAATACATTTTTACCTTTGGGGTTTTAGCAGCTACCAGGGGGTAATCTCAAAATTGTATCAATCATATGTGTAGGTTCAACTGCATTTCCTTTCTACCATTTACAGGGAAAAATTGAGAGAAATTTTGATCAATTTCTTATCAAGATCAATAACTTTGAGCCACTTTAACAAGTTAATGGTGCGGTAAGTAACATTCTATTTCAAAAAATGTACATGCTGATGTTTTATCTGTGTTACTGCTAAATGAGCAAGGATAGCAGACCCTGGATGAGCTGTTGAGGGGGGGAGGGGAAAGTGGAGGAAAGAAATAAATTTACTTGAGAAACGCACCGCTTAATATTTAATCAGTACATGACAATAGTTTCTTTTCTGTTCCAGTTACTTATATCTCCATGTACTTTAAGAGTTCCTTTAAGTGTGTTGTCTCTTCTTTTGATTTTTGTCCTACTGCTGAGCAAACTTAATAAGCTCCCCCCCTGATTAAGCACCCTCCTTCTTATAAGCACCCCCTCCTTTAAGCTGAAATTCCAAATGAGCGCCCAGATGCTTATTCATGGAAATGTGGTATTTCCTTTTTTAAGGCTACAATGGCAATATTTGCTGCAACAAGAGATATAAAATTTAACCTTTAACCCTTTAACTCCCAAGATCTGATTGTTAATTCTCCCCTCTAGCTGCTGCACATTTCCCTGTAAATTAGTCATGAGAACTTGGTGCTAGATCAAGATAGCATTTTATACCTGATAAGTTTGAATATTCTCATAACCTGTTTGCTGAATAAGGTAAGGATCAGTTATGGGGAGAAGTTTCATGTTGATCACTTCTGGGAGTTAAAGGGTTAATACTTTTTAGTTCAGTGCTGTGTATCTTCCATTACACTATATCCAGCTTTTGGATAATATTTAGACAAAATTTTCCTTTCCTTAGTTTACTGTAATTTTGTGTTAGTTGCAAGACTAAAAAGACATAATGTTAACTTTAATCTTGATCCTTAATTCTCGCAGGTTACGACTGGACCACAAAAAGATGATTTCTTATGATGAGTTTTACGCTGCGTTTAGGCCACCAAAGGTGAGAATGGCAGCTATGGACTTGCTTTTATTTTCAGTCTTCCAAGAGTCCATACTTGAGAAATTTGGTCACTTTTGATTCGTCTGTCATCTTCAGATGAAATTAACTCAATTTCATCACTCCTTTTCAATTTTTTTGTCTTCAGAAAGCTGATGAGGGCCCTGCTTGGCTGCAGCTGGAGAAGCCTGACTTAAAATACATGTCTGCCGCTCAAGTACATGCACATCTTAAAGAGAAGGCAAAACAAAGGTTAGTCATTATTCTAATTTACCTTCTTTTCTCCCCTGTCTCTTTTACGGTCTTTTATATGAACTCTTTGTGCCTGCTTCCGGTCAGACAGATTTGGAGACACTTTATTTTGCACCACCACCCCCCCCCCCTCCGTGCCAAATCCGTCGACCCCCACCCTACTCCTCACAAATTTTCATTCGGTGTAATTGTCGCTATAAAATAGTACATGTAATAAATAAAAAAGTTAAGTTTGTCTGGGAAATAAAACTGCGGATAAAATATCTGATTAATATGCTGATTCATACTGGTGCATCGCAAGATTCGTATTGTAACCTGAACTGTGGATTTTCAAGTCCCACGCGTTTTTCGAGCGTTGATAAAATATTTTAGAAAAAAAACTTGAAACTCTCCTTTGGTCACTGTTGGATCGTTCGCGTCCTAAGTGTGCAGATAAATCAAATTTGCTTTCTAGTGGACTCTTGTAACCATATATTGGCCTTTTCTTTCGCTCAGGTTTTTGGATGTAGCAGAACTTATTCCGCAAATGAACCCTGGAGGTTCTGGACGAATTCTCAGGCCTGAACTGCGAAACGTCCTCAACAAGATGGGCTTTTACATGGAGGACGACGAGTTTGAAAAACTCTGGCAAAAATACGACACGGAAAACTACGGAACGATTCGTGCAGAGCGATTGATGAGTAGGCTTGGTATTGCCATGAAGGACACAGGATCAAGAGAAGTATCGAGCTCGCCGAGGAAGCTCGAAGCGGAAAGGAAACACTCTTTGGATGTAGAGAGATGGTTGAAGAGGAAGTTTCGCGAGGGTTTCTCGGATATGAAGCATGCTTTTATGGAGTTAGATCTGGACAGGATAGGAAAAGTTAGCTTCGATGATTTCAGAATGGTCATGAAAGATTTTGGCTTGCGCCTCGACACCGATAAACAACTGGATGATTTCATTGCAAGGTTTGCTTTTTTTATTTTAAAGTCTGTCCATGTTGAATATTCCATCTTAGCTGGTACTTTTGTAAAACCTTTTGAGCTTTCTATTGCGTAAGAGCCAATTAATTGTGAAGCCGAATTAACCACCTTGCGATGAAATAGGGATCGAGTAATCCAATTGTTTTAGCAGTTTAGTGTAAATTTGAAAGTCGTTCAACTGAATTTTACAACAAAACAGGCTCAGGTTTAATTTCTTTTATTTTGTTTACAACTGCGCACTCTTTGGCTAATTATCATCACTATCTGTCACAGAATAGACAGCGAGTAGTGTAACCAATCAGAATTTTGCATTTACGATAGAAAGCTGATGAATTTATACTGACGGATAATGTCTCACAGACACGATATTTTTCTGAACAGGTGCGGCATCGAAGCTTCCAACGGCAAGATTTCGTACAAAGAATTTCTGCGCCGTTTCCAAGATCGCAGCGAGCAGGGAATGCCCCACAAGATTTTGGCCAATCCACTTCACAGGTAAAACTGCCTTTATAGGTTTAACGTACATAGATTTTGCTTCTGGTGCAGATTGACGAGCGTGTGTTCATGTGCGCTAGTGAGAACGTCTAACTTGTCCCCAGTCGTCCCTCTACTTTAAAACATTAACGGGAGACGCGCGCTGTTATCACAACTACCAATTAGAACAACCTGCTTGAAGCGTGTTTGTATAGGAGTGGCCAAGTTCTAATAGTTTTCGGCGCGAGTTTTCTGGACCAATCACAGAGCGAGGTAAAGCAAAACCAAAGCAATCACCCAGGATTACTTTCGATACTCCATTGAAAAATTCTCTTAGAAGACTGATTAGTAACGTTCGTCTTTAGGTACCACCACAGTGAAGGTGGAAGTAACTATTCAACAACTTCAGCCATAGAGGCCAGAATGATGGACATGTTTCAGAAGGAGTTCTTAGCCCTGCTGGGTACATTCCAGTAAGTATTACTCGACGCGTTTGTTGACAACTTTCGTCTTGCCCCGGAGAGACTCGTTAGCCGCGACATGATTGAGGTTGAAGAGGTTTGATTTTTTCCTGCAAGTCCAGTGCTAAAAGCAAAGCGAGGGCTTATTTTAATTCCCTTAGCATGAAGTGACTTAACGGGTGAATAATAACAGGGAACTTAGAGCCTTTTTTAAACCAAAACCAGAACCAAATTGAATTATGCAAAATCTTCTTTTTGAGGTTTCCTCTCTAAGAAAAACGGAATCGATGCAATATCAAACAAAATGTACACAAATTTTAAAAGCCACTGTCCAGTCGTGGTTATGCTCATTGAATGTCATCATTTTTTTTATTTACTCAATCTTTTTCTTGTTGTTTTACAGCAATATTGACCGTAAGGATTCTGGTCTGCTGACTCAGCAACAGTTCCGTGCAGCTATCGAAGGAAGATTCGAGTTGAACATGTCAGAGCAGGAGTTTGAGTCATTTCTGAAGAAAGTTCCCATCGACAGCGACGGTATGGTCAAATATGTGGAGTTCATGTCGAAATTTGATACTTTGTAAGTATTTGTAATCTCTTGTTACTCTAACAAAATTGTTTTTTTTTCCCATGAGCTCTGCCAACACTATCCATGCAGTAAACGTTTACAAATCAGTGTTGTTCGAGTGTAAATGTGAAGCATTTTTCATTTCGCCAGTGTTCACTAGACATTTTATCTTTCGCGAGTTTTCTTTGTTTGTTTGTTTATCAATAAAACAATTAAAACCTCTTCACGATCAAGATGGTAACGAGCTTGGTTGCCAATTATAGATAGCCCCCTGTCACTCCTCCCTTTCTCTCTCCACCTCCCTCTCCTCCCTCCATCGCAGTCCATGGTAACATGCTTCTTTGCTTGGGGCTGCACATCGTCAACTCCAGCGCAATGAAGCACTCAGTCTTCGTGAGCCCTTTGCGACCTCTCACTTTCAAGCTCCCTTTGACTTGTTTACTTCCAGATATGATATTGATGTAAGCCTCGCCATGCTCCTAACGGTTTTGTAATTATACTAATATGTCTGCTAAATGATGATTAGCTTACTTTAATATTTTGCACTTATGACGAACATTTTACTGTACTGTTGGGTGAATTGGACCAAGTCATGTTGTAACAGGCTCTCGCTGAACTCTGCACATCGGCTAAGAAAGCGGCAACTTGAAATTCTTTTTTCTTTTCGTAATTACGTGTGTATGTACAGGTAGCGACTTATTAACTGAAAGGAGATTTGCGAAAAGGCTTACCAAATTGAAAGGCAATTTCTTTGGCTTGAGAGGCATTTTCGCATTCCAAATAGAGTTTTCTTTTCTTTTTCTCCCTTTTTAAACTCTCTTATCTCTTGCGTTTACATTTGTCTTTATCTCGCCAACTAACTGCTACATTGCATCAAAGAAATTTTTAATTCTATTCTCTAATTGTTCTATCAGTGAAAGCAAGAGCCTGTTTGATCGCTCCAGCATCATGGATCGAAAAGAAGCTCTTCCTACTCTACCGGAAATAGACAGCCCTCCTATGTCACCTAAGAAACAGTTTCGACCGATGAAAACCATGGATTCGTACAATAGCCAGGAAGGGCGCAGCGTCGAGGAATTGAAGGCTCTGATCAAGAGTGTGCTTCAACATAATTATCAGGCCTTTGAAGAGGTAAGATTGAAAAAAATAATGGATAATAGAACGCAGACCTTTTCAGTAGTCTTGCCATGTGGATTGGTGGTTTTGTATTGTTAGAGCAAGAAAATTTCGAAAGTAATCTTGGATTGCGCTGGTTTCCGATTTATTTGCTTGGGTGCCCTAACTAATGGTTTCCGCTTAATTGTTATTTCCCTCGATTGTAAAAGGTAGATATTGGGGTATACGTAGAGCTCCTTTTGGTGTCGACCTTTTTTGTGATTTACTGTTGGTTTTATGACCCTCAAATCAAAATTCGCTCTAAGTTGCCGCGCAAAACTAGGGACATGCTGATGGCAGGTAGAATAGAATAGAATAGAAACTTTATTAAAGTGTCAAAAACCGTCTAGCCAGGGAACAAATCCCTTACTAATTTGGGGACACCAATTAGGGGAGAATATACAAAATAAAAAAACTATATACAGTAGTAGGTAAAATATCTATAGTTAACTCATTAAGAGATTTATAGTAAAAATACACAGAAGTCAAAATGAACAAAGGCTACAGCCTGCGCAGCCATCATCCAAAAGTTCACTTATATTGAGTTGGCGTATCTTGCTTTTAAACGACGTTAGGGTTGTGACGCGAATATGCAGTATCTAAACATAGTGACTGTCTCATACCTAGGTATAGAGAAATCTGCTTGCCGCAGATTGTAATTACTATTTGGTTCTTTAAAGATGTTACTTGACGCGAATATGCAGTCAAACATGTTTTGCTGTCCTCACGTTCTACTGTCCTCTCACATTTGGCCAATCGAAGGGCACAGATAAGTGAATGGACCAATCAAAACAAACTAAAGAGGAATAGCCAGCAGATCTTTCTATTGATTATTCCAATTGCAGCCAATGTCAAAGCTTATAAAGTACAACACACAACACCAACGCAAAATCGGGAATTCACGAAGAAACTATCTTGATGTAGCCCGAGATACTAGAAAATTTCGCGGTCGGGTAAAAGATTTGAATTAAAAAGAGTAAGGATTTCAGGTCGATGATTACATCGACAGCTTTTACAATCTAAAAGATACCCAGGGAATCATTAAAACTTCTAAGAATTCATTATGGAGAAAACACAATCAAATCTTAAGATGAATGCACTCGTAATTTATAAAAAGTAGCTCTCCAACATGAACGTATTTGTTCTTTCTTTTCAGGCCTTCTATGAACTTGATGAATTAAACAGCAAGAAAATGTCACCAAACATGATGATTAAGCTTCTAAAAAAGTGAGCAGTTAAACGTCACACACACTGTTAAGGGTTAAGGAGCGACTAAGTATTTTTTGTCGAAGCTGGAAGAGCCAGAAAATAAGTTAATAGTTGAGTACCTTGAGCTTCTCGTCACTAGCGTGAGGCAAAGAGAAAAAAGAAGAAAAAGAACAGTTTGAGTTTTCCACGAGATGTCGAACCGCAAACGTACGGATTCATTTCTCGCCGTCTTAGACTTTGTTCAAAGAAAAAAAAAAGTTAGAATCTCAAGATATACAGTACATTAGTTGTTGGCAATACAAATATGTAAGGTAATGTTACTGTTTACTTTCTCTGTAAGGTTTGGTCTTCCTCTAAGTCGCAATGAAGTCAAACGACTGTGGGATACTCTTATCACAGACCAAAGAGGCTCTTTGGAATACTGGCAGTTCGTGCGCACTTTTGGTTATTCCCTGGATTCAGCAGGTATTTTGGTGAAGTTTTTAAAGCAATTTTAGTGGCTTGTTACCAAGGGCTTTTTGTTCCAGTTTCCGTCTTCTTTAGTGGAAGAATCTTTTCCGTCTATGCTAGTCCTTCAAAGCAATGCTATGTAATAAGAAAATGTTTGCTTATGTTTTTGCGAAGTACTGAAGATGTTTATTTTTGTGCAAACTATTGATGGACGACGGCTGACCTTTCTGCACAAGGCCTTTCGAATTCCTAGTGGCTGTTACTTTTCTTGCTACACAACGCGTGTTTTACCTCTTAGACTTTATTTCGCGACTTTTAGACGCCGTCTTAGGAAGCCTCGCCAAGTTTATTGTCATTAGACAGTCTACTTTCATCCTTTTTTCAGCGTTCCCAAATGCTAAGGTTTCTCCGCCCAAGAGAGGTGACAATGACTTCATGATGCGCTCCAACAAACTGAACAGTGACAAACATCTTTTGCATCATTTGCTCAAATCAAACATCGACTTCCACTGGGAGACGCTCTGGAGAGAGTTCACCTCTATTGACCGACAAGGGACTGGAAACGTTTCGAGAAAAGATTTCACGGTAAGCTGAACCATGCTGGTTTCCAGTCCCTCCTTTATGGCTCATCAAGTGTGCCTTGTTATTTTACATAGTCAGATTGAAGTTGTCATGGTCAAGTGCTTTTGCTACAATCTGAAGCGATTCTTATTTCAGCCAAGGATTAGAATGTGCCATGTTGCTTGACACTGGCTATATACACTCTTTTTTTAGCTATAAGAACCTTTTTTATAAGAACGTCTAGGCTGAGATTAACTAAAATTTTAATACATGCTAAGAACATACCCCTGCTGAGATTCAGTTAATAACGTCTTTTTTTGGCACTTTTTTGTGACAAGTATAAATGAAGGTTAAAGAAAAGTTAAACTGTGGTCTAACAGGTTTTCTTGTCGCACGATACACTGAGGAACCACTTCGTTTGTTGTCGAACTTGGTCTGGTCACGTCTGAATTGATGTATTGAAATACTAAACCACATATTTTTAAGAACATGTTAACAACTTTTTCGGGCTCAAATCACAAAAAAAAAGAACAACACTCAGCCTCAGTACCAAAATTAGACGTTCTCAGTTATTAATAAAAAAGAGTGTAATCCGATATAAAAGTTTGAGTGCATTATTCATTATTTTACGCAGTCCCCTTTGCAGTCCGTCTTTCGTGGGGTCGCTAACGTCACGCACGGTTCATTTGCACGCGTGATATCTTGGAATGCCTGCAGGAGTAAAGGATTTCTAGTACCATTCCTACTTCATTTATACACTTCGTGAAATGTCCTTTTGTTGAAGACTTTACTTTCCTTTATTGCAGACTATTTTGCAAGATATGTGTGTTGAACTGACAGACTACGAGTGTCAAGTCCTGTGTGACAAATTTGATCCTAAGAAAGAAGGAAGGTATTGACCTTAATGACACTAAATATCTTCTAGATTTTTCACATGGGTGAAGTTTTACAGAGTAACTCAGCCAAACAAGTTTAGGTGGCCCAGAAGAACCAATCATTATATGCTGACTACAGAAAGAAAGATAGGACGTTTCCAGATTCCTCCATTCATTACTTATTTCAATTTATTATATAAACACCAATACCTCGTATCCTCGCCCGGCTCTGTAACATTTTTTGGTATCAAAACAACATGGTTCTAAACCTACATTGACCTCTTTTTTTCAACAGAATAAATTACATCAAGTTTTTAGAACCATATTCCAAACATCGAAGGGCCCATCGCCATGGACACAATATGCAAGCGGTCATGAAGCATCCACAGGCTGAGCTGGTAATAAATGACTGACTTCTATCTTCCTCTCGTGTTACGAGAATATTGCATCTGAACATCAGCATTAATACTGAATGTACGTCCATTTTTGGCCCGCGCTTTCCTGGCTAGCGAAAGGGTGTAACAAAAATGTAAAACTGAAAAATATGGCAAAAAATTAACCTGAAGCATCATTATTCCCCTTAACATTTTTCTCAATTTTGAGTTTGACAGCGAATGGCTCTAAGTGACGCCCCCAAATTGCGTCGGGTTTCTCACCTCTGCTTCAAATTTAAAGCTTCTTCCGATGAAGTTCGTGTCTTATCACAATTTGTACATATTATTGGCATTTAAAACTACTTCCTTGTCAGCGTTTAGCAACGTGGAAAAACTGCTCTAAAAATGGAATAAAATCAAAATGTCCTCTTCAGAAGTTGATTTTTCCAGATAATTCGCTTACATTTGTACATCTGCTTGGCAAGAAATATTTTCGATGTACTTTTCTTGCCCGAAAATACAACGGAATGGCAACAAAGATTTTCTTCTTGCATCGAATAAACGACTTAGAAATTTTTAAGTGAAGTAGCAAGGACAAGATATCATATCATCTCTTGGCAACAGTCATTCAACTGCCTTTGCTGTGACAACAAACATCCTTTCTTCGTTTTTCTTCCTTAACCAGCCAATGGATGAGATCGTTCAAAAGCCAAGTAAAGGTCTGTCGACAGTGACAGCAAAGCTCAGAGATAAGGTATGATATGGTAATAACTATTATTGACATTAACGTGTTTATGGCCTCCCGTCAGATCTTCTTCAACGGTTTTAACTTTCTTAAAAGGCGTTCCATAGCATTAGATTTCCAATCCCCACTGTGCACAAATTCACACTTTAAGAACCTGCGGAAATTAAAAATTGCGGCTTTTCCTCTACTGGAGAAGCTCACCAGGTAGGTAAATAGAGATCTTATCGTCAACTAGTATTGTTTCCAACTTGTTTGAAGAAGAGAGATGATATGCGTTCTTTAAAATTACTAGAAATAGTATTATAGATCAGAGAAGAATATGAAGTGAATTTAGAAATTATTCATAAGGCAAATTTTAGTGAATTTTTAAGGAATTATTTTGTATATATACAAAAAGCTGGTCCTCCTAAGCAAACTAAAAGAACTCCCTGTGTACATTTTAAAAGAGCAACTTCTTACAAGATAAACGTCAAAAATGTAACACATATAGCAAAAATTCAGAAAGGGTCTTATTCAGAGCATTCATGCTCCACACACAGTTGCGTGTTTTTTTTCTCGTATCCAGGCAACACTCGATAAAATATTGTTTCTCTAATGTAAAATCGAAAATATTTAAAATATATTATACTCACATCCGTATTTCTCTTAATCTTTCAGTTGTCAGGAAAATGGATAAACCTCATGCGAGCTTTCAAGAAACTAGACAAAGACAACAAGGATTTCCTCTCTCTTCAAGAATTCCGACATGTTTTGGAGCTTTGCAACGTAGTTTTGGACGAGGAAGATATTTATTACATTTTAACCGAGTTCGACGAAAACCGTGGCGACAAAATCAGATATACCAAATTCCTGGACAAGATTAAGTGATGGTGGTAAACAGAGTGCTTTGTGTGTGAAAATCTGAAATAATTAATTGTACAGACTTAGTTACCCTCGTAAAAGACACACTTAAAAATGAAGTGGATTTGGTTGGTTAAGAGCGAGAATGGATTGCAAAGTTTGAACATTTCACGTAAACTTCAAGTGTAGAATGTATACAATTTTTATATTTAGTTGTGTTGTTTCTTGCCATAATTGTAATATTCTGCATTAAATCCACTTACTTCCAGCTATGTTGTATGTGATTAATGTTTTTCTTTAACGCACTGTACAAAATCGCTCTCGTTTTTCGTTTGCCACCGGCCGGTGAATATGATACAGACTGGATCTATGGAAATATTCAGGATGGAATGGAGCTTTAACCAACCTTTGCCGCAAAATAGAGGAGAATATGATTTGGATTCTCATAAAAGACTCAGCTATTTAAGATTGTTGCTAGACAAGAAGGAACTAATTAGGTAACTTCTTCCACAAGGAATTCCAGTTCAGTCAACGAAGGTACGTTGGAGTCATTAGTGACTCGTTTGCCGGTGTCTCGTTCGTCTCTCATCTCTATTACAATCTTTATTATCAATGAATGACTGCTGCAAAGTCTGATCTCAAACCTTGTGGCTCTCAACTTATGTGGAGCTTATTCCAGTGTTTACATCATCAAGCGACTGATATGCCTACTTGCCTCGGTTGTACCAGGTGGTAATTTTGTCACGGAGACTGGCACTGTAAGAGTAAGGTGTCTTTGTCCCAGAACACGAAACAGTGACTTGTCCGGGAATGGAAGCCGAAACTTTTCGTTCATTCACGGGCCACTCCTGCTCTCACATTTTGGAAATATGAGAGGTCTCACGGATAAAATACTATTAGCGAAGGACCACCATTCAGCCTGGAACCCAGGCTTCTCACTTCCAATACGCAAACTTGCTTCATGATAAATGAATAAATGGGGTAAATTTCTAAAGAAACTGTGGTGCTGCGTCGGTGGGAAAGTTAGCAGGTGACTTAGTGTTAACAACTGAGTTGAAAACGTAAATTCGCAACCGTAAAGAGTTAAAAGGCTGACGTCTCATTCTATAGAATGAACTATGACAATAAACTCGTCTAATATAATTCTATCACGTCAGAGACCAGGATCCATGGGAATCATGGGCCATTTTTCCCATCGTACACTTTGCTAGCTTCACCTTCCTCCTTCTTGCTAAGAAATGTTTTGGTTTAAGCATTTTTCTTTTATAATTAATTCCTCTTGAGTCCCGGCTAATAAATCCTTTAACCTCCAAGAGTTTTCCGGTCAGTGAGTCTCCCTACGGTACCAAGAAAATTGTCAATCACCAGCAGGAGAAATAAAGATAAAAGATATTACCAAAAGGATTTTGTTCGATTGACATTCCTTGCAAATCCTCAGAACTTTCGTTATGATGGCAGACACTCAATAATGATAATGCGAATAAAAAGTCGTGTTAAGCTGTTTGTTCAGTTGCGATCGGGAAAACGGCAAAAGCTAACAATGTTTTTACTCAACTTGCTTAACATTCTAGAATCAACCCTGTATAAAGAAAAATAACGAGGAATATTTTGTTAAAAGCTAATGGAGCTAATGGAAATTTCTTCAACTTAAGGAGCAGTCAATATTTATCACCCGGGGGGTGGGAAGGGTCGGCAAATTTTTGAAGTGATCACATGGTTTTCAAACGGAATGGGCGGAAGGAAACCGTCGCTACCTGAGTATAGAGAAGGAACTGTGAAAGATTGACTGCCAGTGAGGGGGGATCAAGTAAATTCTAAAATCCCCCTCAGGCGGTAAACAACGTCCATTCCCTGAGAACAGACGGCAGAAAGTTCAATTTCTGTCGATAGACATTTGCATTACACGTGATGATCGTCTTTGATTCAACCTCCGCGGATCTCCTAGCAGGAAACAATCAAACTCTTGCTGATTGACGGGTATTTTAAATTGTTTTAAAGTATTCCTATGAGAGCTTAGATCCGTTGGTAAATGCATTATCTACGGAAATTCCCCTCTTAGGTTCTCTCTATCATCGTGCATATTTGTTTTCTCAGTAAATACCTTTTAAATTCAGTCTCAATGGTTTAAAATTTTGAACAGCTAAATACACAGACGAGACAAGCAATGGGTTGTGTTTCAATTATTCTCTTTTGTGGTTCCTTAATTTTTTTTCTTATATAACTACAACAACTTCATATTTTTCCAGTTTCATTTCGTGAACTGATGCGCCATTTACAGCCCCCTTATCCATCTTTGTTTTTGTTATTTTTACACGATTGACAATGCTCCCCACTGCTGTGCTGTAACGGGTAAAACGAATGGAAAAGGATATGTATTCGTGCATTGGAATAATTATATCATTTCCTTCCTTTTTTCGCTTATTCTGTATAAAGTCCTTTTAAACTGATCAAAGTAAGTTATCGTTGAACTATCTACTCGTGACTGACTGCCTGGGGGTCGAGCAATACTTAAGCAGGGGGTTTCAGTAATTTTTTCCATAAGCGGCTGCCGAGGGTGTAATCGGCGACTGTGCCCGGAAAAAGGGCGCAAGGGGAAACCCAACAAGAGCCTGCGGTAAGAGGTCTTAAAGGCGGCGGTAAACCGCCGGTAGCTAGCTTTTATCGAAACTCTTGACTAAGTGATGTAAATACGAGATTTATAAGTCGGCAATGCGTAAAAAATCTGTACAAAATAGAACAAAAAGTGTCATTCTTTACTCAAATCAATGCCGTTTGGAGAAAACTCACCGTGTCGCGGACAATTTAATAACCTCTGGGATAAAAAAAAAAAATACAAAACAGATGTGTAGGCCACAACGAACTTGATCAAAGAAACTCCAAAACAGCATCACATCGCGGTAGAGAATATTAAGAAATAAAAAAGGACATGATTCGTCTGATCAAGAGCACAAGACGAAGGAAAAACTGAATGCACTCATAAGGATTTGAACCTCAGAAGACCTTTGGCAGAGCATTGGGGCTCAGAATCCGACGGTCTGAGGTTCGATTCTTCATAGAGACTCAAAATTTTTTCTTTGTCTCACGCTCGTGACAATGCGAACAACATTTCATTTTATTACACTGCCGAGCAGAAAATCGACTACTTTTCTATATCATTTGTTAGCGAATATGTTGTTATTAGATGAAGGTAGTGCTACTTTAAAAAACTAAAGCCTCGGTGAATGTTAACACTTTCACTCCTAATTACAAGATCTAATCAGTTATTCTCCCGACTGACTACGACCCATTTTCTTGCAAATTAGATAAGAGAGTTTGGTGTTAAGTCAAAATAACACCCACTGGCCGATAATCTCGTCTGTTCTCATAACCTTTTTGCAAGATAACATTGGAATCACAACGAGAAGTTCCTTGTTGAGAGTCAATTGGACTTTACCTTAATCGCTTCTTATTTAAGCCTGTTTTCTGTTAAATCCAATGGGATATTTCATCAACTTGCGCTTTGGCGTTTGTTGTGGCCCATTAAGTTACCAAAAATATTTACTCGCTTCGGATACAGTATTTGTAACCGAATCTACTCTGTTCATTAAACGTTGCATGCGGAACGTTTTTCCGTTGCGCAGACAGAGTTCGAATAGTTTTTGACAAACAAATGGCAAATTCATGAACTGCAGCAAAGTTTCAAGAAACCAAAATGAAAAAAAACGCTTTTAAACCGAATGTCGTGAAACAGATCAAATCCAACGAAATAAAAATGGCTAGGTAGAACAAAGGAAAATGTTATAGGGCGCCAGTGATAAATTAGGGCTGGTTTTTCATATGTCGGGAAAATCGATATATATCTGAGATGGTCAGTGATGTTACTGATTTCCGATCGCAGGAAGACTTCCCCGGTTGTCTGGGATGGTCGGCGACAATTCGGGAAAACCGGGAGAGTTACTATTTTTCCTAAGCGTCCCAGATTTAGAATTGCGATGATCGGCAATCATTGAAGACATGTGGAAACTCCTATTTTACTTGATCACTTTACATGTACCTCCGCCAATGTTATTTACTGCATAACTTGCACTTATTGCAATAAGTTATACATCGGCGAAACAGGAAGACGACTGGGTGACCGATTCCGAGAACACCTTCGCGATGTGGAAAGAAATGACAAGGACGCATCCAAACCAGTCGCTAGACACTTTAATCTTCCTAATCATTCTAAACAGCATATGGCAGTTTGCGGCCTTTCCTTACATCTAGGCAGTTCGGAAAGCCGTAAAACACTAGAACAAAAATTTATATTCCAAATCGGCACCCTTAATCCCCACGGAATCAACGAGCGCTTTTCATTCAACTAATTTATTCCTGTTTTCTCGTCACCATATTCCCACCTATGGCGTAGCCCCACTTTCTGCATATAAATCCACACACAACCCACAATTCCTCTAATCGCTCTGACGAAGGGCTAACGCTCGACACGTCAGCTTTTTTACCCTTTACGGTGGCTAATTTACGTTTTCAACCCAGTTGTTAACACTAAATTACCTCCTATTTTACTGTCGGGTACATCGGCGATAGTGTTAGCACGTTACGGTACCATCTTTTAATGTTGCTTGGTTCTGGTACCTTCGAGTCACTGGTAACTTCCGACGATCTTCAGACATGTCAGACATATCGGAAAAAACCGGGGCAGTGGGAAAACGGTGAAACTACTGATCGTCTGGAATTTTCCCGCCATAAAAAAAGAAGAAAATCAGATTTACTTACAGTAAAAACTAACAAATTTCAAATGTCTGAAGCGCAAGTAATTGCGACAGAACCATTAGCGATTGTGTTTTCGTTTCGGTTGCATCTTAATTTCCGATAGATTAGAATAAATTTCCTTTCACTTAGGGAAATAAAGAAAAACCAATTTAATCCCAGTTTCTTTCGACAGTCATTTGAAAATTAAAAGTTTTCAAGTTCGCTATTCGCATTAAATTACTATCTTTGCCATTGTTTGCCATTCTTAACCATTGTCACCCATCCTTTGCCATCCTTGGCCATCCTTGGCTATCCTCAGCGATTGTCAGCCATCCTTGGCCATCCCTTTCCATTCTTGGATTATTTCGTCAACGTGATGAACGAAATTTTCAACTGGGCAAGAAAGTGACACAGAATGGTATATCCCTCAGTTCCTGTCTTGGCCACCCAAGTGAATCTCGCATGGCGGCAAATTTGCAGCTGTGTTTTGTTTTAATAACTCAAGGAATAACATGGAATTTCCTG